TTGTTCTTGTTCTGAGTTGTTTCTGGGTTAAGTCTTTTTAAAATAGTCTTGTTGTGTCTGGGTATGAAGGTTTTCATGTTTTCGCCGCAGCTGTAGCTTACGCGTATTGTGTGTCGGTTGAATATCTTGGAGAGTATAGTATTTGGTGGGAAATGTTTGTCGATAAGTTGTAGGAAGTCGTGGGCGATGTGTGTTTTTACGTTTTTGCTGTATGGTGGGTTAAACCAAGTGATGTTACGTTTTCTGTTGCACGTAGTGGACACGAGCCACGTTGCACGTAGTGCTTTCACGAGCCATTCACTGATGTTTGATGGTTTAAAGGTAAGTTGGGTGGGGAAGCTGCTTTGTTTAAGAGCTTGGTTGTAAATTGGTGCGGCATTTTCGAAGGTGTCTTTGCTAGATGAGAGTGTATTAATTCGGTTGTTGATGGATGTGGGTAGTTGGCGTAATACTGATGGTGGGTGGTTGGACGATCTGTGAATGTAAAGAGGCTCGTCGTTGGGTTTTCTATATGGTTGGTAGGTGTCGTTGCTAAGGTCAAAGATTACGTAAAGGAAGTTTGTGCGTTCATGGTTTGTCATCACTGTGATTTTTAGTCCAAGCTCATCAAATAGGTGTGAGAGGTTTTCTTTCTTTGTCGCAGAGTCTTCCAGATTTGGTATTTATGACTGCAAGGCCATCGTCACGGTATAAGCCGACGTTGTTCCCGTACCGGTGCTGTAGTTGGTCGAGTAAGAATAGCCCTACAAGCTCGAAAACTTCCGCCCACGACTTCTATGGCTATCACCATAATAAAATGGTGACTCCTGCACTAAGGACATAGAAATATGATCGATGTTGTTCTGAAATTGGAGTATTTTCTTCAAAGGTCACTTCGTCTGGATAGTAAAATTCACTCACGCAGCTACGATCTGAATATATTTTGCTTTCTCTATGAGCAATTCTTTAAATCAATTTCAACAATTTAAATAGCACTTAGTAAAAAATATTGTTGCAAAAAAACTTAATTTTTTGAACCACGATCAAGATATCGTAAGAAAAAGTCGCCTACAGCTGCCGCCAATGAGATTGCAGGAAATAAAAAAATACCACTAGGCATGTACAATTAAAAATAAAATGTTGGTGTTTTTTATTAAAACTCTAGCTCAAAAGGTCAACACTGCATCATGAACAGTTTAAAAGATTCAACTATAAACTATATAGTTAGTATACGCAGGGTAACCTATGTAGCTATTTGATGTTTTATCATACTTGTTCTAAAAACATAAGCTGCATGCATTTGGCTAAAACTTGTCATGTGGTTAGATAAAAAGTGTCCATTTATTTAAACTAACCCCGTACGAATGAAAATGGAGCGTCTTATGTTCACGCAACTCTTGGAAAAATATATTGATCTTCAGGAAGTTTTTTCTGTAAGAGAAAGAAATCCATGAAACATCCATAAATATTTATGTGTCAGAATGCTTTTCGCCTGCTTTTTTAGAAGTTAGTTACTTGCACATACCTAAAATATTGATTTACATCTGAGATGTTCTCGAACAAATTGATTACTTTATGTCGTGCTCTGAACAGTTCCTCCAGGAAGGACGGCTGAAGAATTATAATAAATGAAGCTCTTTAATATGTCTGATTTAAGGATAGGAAATTATATAAAGTTTGGTTGCAGATTTACCAAATATTTTTCAGCAGGCCATACAGCTGATGATAATACAGAATGATAGATTGTTGATCTTAAAGAAGAGAAAATTTAATGCTATTAACCCTATCATGTTTTTCAAATTATGTTTAGTGACTATTTTACTTGCAAGCCAATGGACAGTAACATGGCAAGTTGTTCGTTCTTGCTAGACGTTCAAGGCGTTCAATGCATAGAGCTAAACAAACAAGTAAGTTTGTAAAATTTTAAGTTCTTTTCAGCCGTTAATCACATGTTTTTACCTTCTGTCTTGTTGTCTGCTGAACACGTTTTCATATCAAGTAAGAACTGTGTTCCCGCACAATGACATTGACGAATCATTTCGTCTGAAAGACATTTCTTAATACAATTCTATATTCAAAGAACAAACTCTATCAATTCCACCTGATGACATGAACACCGAATAAAGTATAACTATTACCGTCTGCGAGTAAGAATATGTTTTTTCATTGTCTAACGTTGTTTTCTTGTTAGGATCGCAAATAGGCTTTACAGTTTGAGTTGTCATCTAGAAAAATAAACTAATATTTATACTTGTGTATTGAAGTAATGTCACTTATGTCACTTTATAGATTTGTCTACTATGTCTAAACTTTAATTATTACTTATCGTAACATTTTAAATTGTTGGTATGACGCTGTATTTTATTTGTTTGATCTTCTTACCTTTCTAAGAGATATGGATGTTGTAAATCCTGGAGCAACGTAAAATCCTTTCTCTTCTGGCTGTGGTTCATGGTCAAACTCGTGAATTGTGACACGAGCTCCGGCTGCTGACGCTATACGATCCATGTATTCTTCTTGCTCGAGGAAAAGGAAGAGACTAAGACCTACGTAAGTAAATTTATTCATTTCCAAACATGCTATTTATTTCAAATGCATTTGATGTTTCTGTTCGGTCGTACTCACCATTGTAAGGTCCTGTACCGCTAACGCTACTGTTGACTTTACTTGTATTGAAAGTAAAGCAATTTCCATACATATAGTTTTGAAATACTTCAAAATAACTAGAAAAAGTGCACAATGATAAAATGTGTGTAAAAAGTTGTCACGCATTATCCTTCTATGTCACCTTGGATCACATGTGGTCCCCTGCCACGTACAACTTGCAATAAAATCATTCTTTTGATTTCCGAGATCTTGGAAATCCTCGCGTGTTATTTCACCGATATCCTTGAGATATTTTTGAAACGCCTGTAAATCTTTGCTTGGTGGTAATTTTTTTATGCCATCCTTCTGCATATCACCAGCCGTATTATTTTTCTCTGGTTCTTTCTCTGCTTGACTAATGTTTGCTTTTAATTGGTTCAAGTAGCCACGTGTCTCGGATATTTGCTTTGTTATGTCATCAGTTGTCAGCTCTGTGATTTTCAGTCGTTTTCCAAATCATTAAGTCGCTTTTTCATTTCTACGTTGCTCATATTGCTTGTGATCACATGATCCATGAACTCTTCTGACGGTTTTATGCTATTTTTGCTTTCGTTCTTTGTGTATTCCTTGATGGTGTTGTTCAGCTTATTTATTTTGATAGTCATTTCTAATGATAGATTTTGCAAGTGTTTTCTCAATTCCACATTTCGTTTTATTCTGTGTACAAAATTATCTATACTGGCTGGACGATAGCGTTTATGTGGTTCTTGAATCCACTGCGTTGAATCCGACATTTCTCTTTCGCTTTTCTTTCTTTTTTCCCATCTTTATCAAAGAATATGTTTAGTCATTTACTTCTGTGGACCATACCTTTGAGAATTTCTTTGATGAGAACATGAATGAAGTTATTATTTCTAACTTACCGTGATCTTCTCACTGGATTAATGTTGCATATTGTTACTGCAGGAAACTGTAAAGTGGTGTGCATCGTTACTTTTATCTCAGTTTCAATGGGACCACTTAGGTAGTGGAGGACAAGAAGGTACGTTTGATATACACACATGGTTAAAGACAAGAAAAATACAGTACATCCTGTTAGCTTGAAGAATGCTGGCTTGGACGCTTTTTCCTTTCTTTCATCGTGTACAGTGTTTATTGAGTTAGTTGACATGCTACAACAAATAATGAAATATACATACAATTTTATATTCAGCAGTTAGTCAAGGTTTTTGCAATTTTTCATTTCTTTGAAATATTTATACAACATAACTTTTCCAATTTATAGTTTTACTGCCATACTAGTTTGTGTGTCTTTTGTATTCTCTCGTTCATTGACTTTGAAATGCTTTTCATTAATGACGTCACAAATTATAGGCAAAATTTTCGCTGGTTCAATTTAATTTCAATTTTTTGTCCATTTTTCACTATACCTAAAACAGCAGAATTTTTTGCTCTTAATGGTTTTCTCAATTTTTGGTGTATATATGTTTATATTTCTGGCGCAATGTTTTTATTTTTTATGACTTTATAGATCAGAGGCCGGTTACTCAAAGCCAGGATAGCGTTATCCATTGGATAACAAGTTTTTTAAACTTATATAAATCTTTTAAAAAGCAGAAAGTATAAGATTCGAACTGAACAATCACTAAAATAAAATATTGTTTCGAAGATTACGAAATTTCATTGCCGTAAGAAAAATATAAACACCTTTTTTGCAAGTTTGAAAATTTATGCTATCAAATGGATAACGCTATCCAGGCTTCGTGCAACCGGCACCTGTGTTTCATAGTGGTGCAGACGTTGGGAGAGCTCCCCTGTCTTTCTAGATTCAAGATTTATGTTTACATTTTACAATTATGAAATTTGTAAGAATTCATAGTAAATGACACAATCATTCCATAACGATGATGAGGCTCTAACACGTTACGTTTATACTTTCATAAAGTATTTCACATTACATATTCAAAATGTCGGAAATCGAGTAAGCAAGCACATGAAAATTGGATAAGTTTTCAATATAATTTTTCCATTTGTTGTTATTTTTTCTTCTAGTATGTCTTCGGAACCAGAACCATTGAACAAGTGTAATGAAGAGAATGGGTCAGTCGTTTTCCCTACAATGAGTAAGTTACAGAAGTACTAAAATAGAATAATAGTTACTTAGTAGTTAAATACTTGAGTTAGTTCTGATCCTAATTATTCGTTCAAATTGGCCTTCACACTCTTCAATACAACTATGATTTTCCACAGAACATAGTTCTTGTGAAAATTTCTTTCTAAAAAGGGTATAATATCCTGTAAATGTGCAGCTCCCGTGTGTCTGTCATTCCACAGAACAATAACTATGCTGCATGATCATCTAAATACTGACATAAGAAATTGATTTTGAAAATTTGGTTTTACAAATGCTTTGAGGTTTTATTTTCTGTATTTAGCTACAAGCAAAGTGCGTTACAACTGGTTAGATATAACAGAAAAGTTTAAACATGCTTCTAAAGGTAAGTATAGAATAATAGACACATTAAATAGAATGCTTTTAGTCATGAATTACAGTTGAAACTTAAAAATTATTACTTTGGTGATGCTAGCTTATTATTCATTTGACCAAAATTAAATTTCTTTAGAAATGGATCTTGGTGAACTTGTGCATGATCCAACGTATGTTTTTGAAAGAAAATCCTCACTTTTTCATGTGCACTTGGAAATTAAGATGTAGGTTGTAACTTCTTTTTTATATACGATGTTATCTTGATATTTTTCTTAGCTTCACCTTGTTTGAAGCTATGTCTGCGATCGAAATAATGGATCCAAAAATGGATGCTGGCATGATATTTGATCACAACAAAACTTGTCCTTTTAAGCTGTCGAGGTTCAATACATCTCTATTTAACATGTGCAAATTATGAAATGTTTTGAAGGAACTATACTTCTTGCAGGCTGGTATTATAAAGATTAAAGATTTTACAACAGTTGAAACTATTGGAATTATGGATCACTTGGCTTCTTGTCTTGTATGTTTTTCATTAATTGTTTACTATGCAAATTATTCACAACCTAAGATTTGATTATGCATAAATTATGCTTTCGTTAAGAATATAATATTATTCTCATTCTTCATAATACATACTATATTTGTCATAAATACCATATTTGTAATGAACCCACTCAATATTTTTTGTTTCTACCAATTTTATGGCAATTACACACCTGCTCAGGTAACATGGTTGGATGGGCATTCTCTTATTCAGACAGTTCTTATTTGTCTATATGTCCATAATCCTTACATCATAGAAGATCTTTGTGTGAAGGTGAATCTTAGTGTTGTATAAACAGTTCATTAACCATTTCTAAAGAAAGTGTATGTAATGATGATTTCATTGTGTTTGCTTGTTTTTTAGGCATTTTGCATCCTAATGTTAAGAATATGTGAGGTGATTAGAGACATGATTAACAAGGCTCTAGTTTATGAGGAAGTGAGTTGTTGATAAGTGTATTTTTAAGTATTACAAACCCTGAAGTTGTGGGTAAAAGCACAAAAGCAGTGGCTTATAGTTATTAAAGAAGCAATGTAAAAAAATGTTATTTTCTAGTACAAACATGAGTTTCTGCTGGTGCCTAGATCATTATGATTAAGTTAAGACAATGTTTGAAGATCATCAACATTTACGTTATAAAGCAAAAAGTCAAACCTGCTCATTTTATTAGTATAAAATTGTTTAGTGATAGTTGCAGTGCTATTCGAATGTCCTTTAAGTAAATACAATTTTAAATCATGACCAATCGACCTGTTTTTGTTATTTAAAGGAAGACTTTCAACTCATGACATATGGCTTCAAATTAACACCACAAGTTACAGATACAAGAATATCAGGTAGTATACCATAAAACCTTTAGAGATCAATGATTTGTCCATAGCCATTTTCCATGCAAGTACTTGCCTTGTCTACTCATGGCCACTCTCTACATAATTATTTACCACATTGGTCATCATATTGTACAACTAAAACTGAACTGAGGAACTGCACATGTAATGTAACATATTAGTGTTGTTAAAGTGAATAAGTCTGTAAGGAAGGTGATGTGGAATTTTTTTCGTTAGACTCTCTTTACCCTTTAGGTATGATGAAAGAAGCGGAAGAGGAAATAAATCGTCAGTTAAAGGTATTGACCAAGGGACGTCGGACATGCAAGATGTGAATTATGTCATCAATTTTCCTTAATTCTTTTTCAATTTTTTCTACGTTTTTATTATTTTTTTTCTTAAATTCCTTTGTCTTCAATTTTTTTAGGCTGCTAAAAGTGAAGGAGAGCCTGGGAGCGAATCAAGCACTTCTCAGAAAGTAAGAGGTTGCTGAATGTGATGCAGTTTTCTACGTAAAAGGAGAATGTGTCGAGTTGATAATTTGCAGAGATACTTTTATATTTAGATCAAGCAACTTGAAGCTTTGTTGCTTCGTTTTAAATTCTGGAAGTCATTTTATCTCGCAACAACTTTTTTCGATAAAACTGACGTACGTACCTACCTTTACTTTATGCGACATTCATTTCGGCTAACAGGGAGGAGGGTGTAGTAAATACTTCAGGTGTATGTTGAGGAAATCACAATCAAACTGTACATGGTTCTCACTATGTTTCTCTAAGGTAACGAATATAAGTGCAGCTAGACAAATGCTTGCGTCCGCACAAAAATATTTGCGATTATCAAAAGTGACCATTGAAATGGGCCTCCAACCAGATGGCAATGGTAGGACTTTGTATTGTATGCTTACTGTCATAATTTGCTAAAGTTGGATTAATCCTGTGATTCTATCATCTTTTAGGTAATATGTTAGGATTTGAGCCTGCGGTGAATCAGCGATTACTTCCACCGTCATTTCCACGACATACTAAAATATTTAGTCGAGAAGGGTAGGTCCATTCAGATAAGCAATCAAAATCTTCATATCTTTCTTTCCTAACTTAATTTTTCATGGTTTTTCCTCAGACATATAATTACCTGGACAATCTCATTGACCGTCTTGATAGAGCTTGCAGTGTGACGGAAAACACAGGACTACATCAATTACTGGTAATTATTTTGATTTCTCGTTCTGAATATTCTTTAGGTTTTCAAGATGTTAACACCTTCAATTTTTTACGTGCCATCATATTCCCTGATTATTTTTCATTTCGAATAGGATTTTGTTGAATCATTTAGCCAACTTAATCCTTGTGTGTTTTCACGATCTCTAGTTCAGGTAAATAGACTTGAATAAACATAATGGAGAAGGGGTAGTTTTGTTTTGGTTTAGCTATGTTTTGTGCTGGATACATATTTTCAGACTATATTCTGGCATAACAACAAAATCTTTGGTAAAAGTTCGTTGTCTGATGTTCTTCAACTAGCCATCAAACAATTCAACAGTCCACCGTCAATAGCTGAGAAGTAATTATTTATCCTTTTTTAGAATTACTTTTGATTTCTTTTGGCTTGGTAGTCAATTTACCAGAGCTGTGCTTTTAAAAAGCAAATTTATCCAATGGAAAGTATGCCTTAGTACCAATGTTTATCATTTTCCCCATAGATCTCCGCTGATCAACAGTACTAAAGCTCAGAAGTTTGTCGAAAGCTTTCTTTCTTTGGCTGAAAGGGTAAGTTGCATTAAGTTCAATATAACTGGAGTTGCTGTCACTCTAAGAAAAGGTTATTTGGTATCGTCCCAAACATTTCGTTGTATAAGTATTATTTAAGTGACTTCTATTGATTTTTACGGGTTTTGTGGCTTTTCAATTTTAATTCTTTTTCAATCTTTGATGAACAAATAATGCGCATGGACCATGGAGCATATTTTTGATTGCATATAGGGATTGTGGACATCTTAAAAAGTAAATTGAGGCAAAAATACTGGGGGTTTTCCGTATACATCCAGGTATTTTAGAGCTCAATGATAAGTCCTGTAGGTTTGGTTTTCACGAAATGATAATGATTTAACTTTCATAAATTTATTTATAAATTTTAGCCAATCACTTCACTCCTTCGTTGTTTGTGTCACAATCGTGCTCGTCAACGCGATAAACTGGGTTTTCTTTTGGACGATTTCGCCGTTCTCCTCGAAGAGGTATTTTTTAAATTCTGTACTACTTTACATGACCTTGGAATAGAATTTGTTTATTATCTCATCCGTTTAGGCCGATAAGATTGATGCTGATCTACACCAAATGGTCATTGCTGTTGAACCAAAGGTATTAAAGGAGGTGGAATTAAAAATTGGCGTTTCAAAATACTTTATAACTTAATGTTGTGCATCCTAAAGTCGTTTTCAGTAAGCGTTCCTCTTATGTACCCCAAACACCGCAATCTTTCACAAATTCCACTCCAAGTCCAAAAGTTCATCAATAATTAAAAAAGTTGTGTGTTTACGTAAAAAGGCCTATAGTTGGTGACTTGTACGAAAGTACGTACCAATGAAATATTTAGTTTATTGAGCTATTCGTAAAATTAGTATGAATTCATGAGCTTGGCATTCATTGTTGCACATAAGAAAAATCCTCCAGCCACGTGTGTGATATTTACACTGTAAATCTGTTGTTAATCCTAGCTTCAAGCGTCAACAATAATTGTGACCTCATGAAGTACAGAATATTTGTTGTTTGTTAGAGTGAAACTGTTTAATTATCTTCATATTTAGAGAGAACATTTCGCATGTTTTGGTTCGTGGGTTCTCAATCGAACATTGAATGTGATGATCCAATATTTAATATTGGGTTTAGAGTTACAGTTATTCAGCGCACACGAATATCATTATTTGTTCTGGTATGACGATCTTTTAGTTTTGATATTATATGCACACGTAGTAGAACAAAATTGTTTTTATTACTAAAAAGGTATCTGGAATATCTTTTCAATTGGCAAGCGACGTGTTTGTCTAGAGCGACAGAGTTACTGCAATCGCACGAAACTGCTTTAGGTATTTTTCTGGTTGAAATTCTCGTGGAATCGCCTTTTTACCTCCTTCGTGATATTATGTTCCATTTTACAGAACAAAAGAGTGGAAAAAGTGGAAAGAAGAATAAAAAGAAAAAAAGAGGTCAGTAGCATATTTCGTTGATAGATTCTCTTTTGTTTGCACCTTTATGTCCATTAACGTAAAGCGAACTTGTGCTGTACACCAAAGCTGGAGTTCAGGTATGGACAAAACTCCTGTTGTGAAATTTTGCTCAACCTTTCACCAAGTAAATCTTCAAACTCTGGCAAAAGTACAGCCACAATACAAGGTTATCGCTTATTTTGTAGCCAGTGAAAATTTATCCAAGAGCACTTAGGAATGAAACAGTTTTATCATGGTTTGAGAAGCTTGTGCTCAGGATATATGAAGGTAATAAATTGCTTGCTCTTGTTCATTAATTATGTTTAACTGTCTTATTGTCATACTTTTGTTGTAGGCAATGGAGGCATTTATATTTGGTGGTAAAATTTGTTTTCCAGCCAATGTGTTTGAAAACGAGAGGGTAAGTTGAAAAACTTGCGAAAATTTAAGGAGTATCCTTTGTGGTTAATTACTTAACCTGTGGTCAAGCTAGTGAGTGATATTTTATAGATATGAATTTAATATTGAATTTTTTGTTTCTAGATGAGGTTTGAGCATCGCTTCTTGCCTTTTCAAACGTTGGATACGCCACAACCTCGATTGTTTAATCAATATCAAGAATTTCTTAGCATAAATCTCTCACGTATTCGTCACGTAAGACAACAATTTGGAATGTATTTTTCTTGACACATTATTTATACGCCATATAAGACATTAAATAGATCGAAACTAATCACGTACAAATCATCATTTCACTGGACAAGCTTTGCCTTTCTCTACAATGTTGTGTACTTCAAAAGTCAATATAAACTTCATTCGTTGCGTTGCAGGAGAAAGAGCTGTTTGCCATTTCTGCAAGGCATTTTCAGCAAACAAAAACGATAATGGAAGGAGTCTCAAGCACGTATGTTAAGGTAAGTCAGCGGCAGGTTGATTTTCAATGCGTTATATTGTGTGAGTTACAACTTGGACTGGGTCATCTATTGCAGGTAGACGAAATAATAAAAGTGACAAAAACAAATTTTGTAGTTATGAAACTTGCTGCTGGTGGCCATAAACTGGAGTCCAAGGTATAAAGTAATCAACTCATTTCAAATGTGCACGACGTTGTGTCTTGACGTTGTGTTTGTTATGGGAGAAAACCCAAAACTGTATTTCATCTAGAGTACCCAATCAAATTAAATAAAAGGTCTGCTTGTGTTGTTTATAAATTCTAACTATTCATAAATTGTTAGATTATGTTGAATATGATACAAGGATCCAACGTTTATTTGCTGTTTTTATCATTTCTGCAGAGTCCTCCTTCGTTCGAATTTAATATTCACCGAGCATATCCAACCATACGACTGAACTGAACTTCATGCTATGTAAGTTAGCTATTTTGAGTTTATTGAAAAACACTGTGGTAAAAACATAACTATGTTAACTTTATGTGTCCGCATCCCTTCATAATTAACATGTAGGCCTTCAAGAAATTAAGACTCGCTTGCCATTTTATTGAAAAAAATTTTAAATCTGTATCACTTACTCGAGTTTGTATGGTCGGCAAAGTGTCACGAAAGAACAGTTTATGATTCAATTGTGTATCCACTCAAAAATTGCACGCGGCGTATAGCATCTTGTACTATGAGTTTTTGAGTTTCTGTCCATATAACTTTTTCTCTTGTTTTTGACGTGCTCTTATACAAAACACTCGCGCAGTCATGAAGATAATCCTCGCTACAAGACACTTGTAAGAACTTACATAAATTGAGAAGTGTATTATGAGGTTGATGTATAACATCTTCGCTGTGAACAGTTATAACACTGGAGCCATGTTTCTTTATCGTCAATACGTTACGTCGAACACTATTTAAATATAAATTGATATTCCTCTCCAATGCTTTAGTGTCATTCACCTGCAATAGAATGTAATAAAAATGACTCTTATAAAATCAATCTTGCAGTTTTATCTTAGTTTTAGTGTTTTCTAGAAATTATTAGTACAAATGTAGACGTATGACTTTCTACAATAAGTCTCGTTATTGTGCTGCTTACCTTAATGGTATGGGTTTATCTTCAAACTTCGTACCTTAGTTTTAACATGATGTGGATTTATCTTTAAACTTCTTACCTTAGTTTTAACATGGTGCGGATTTATCTTCAAACTTCGTACCTTAGTTTTAACATGGTGTGGATTTATCTTCAAACTTCTTACCTTAGTTTTAACATGTTATGGGTTTATCTTCAAACTTCGTACCTTAGTTTTAAGATGGTGTGGATTTATCTTTAAACTTCGTACCTTAGTTTTAACATGTTATGGGTTTATCTTCAAACTTTGCACCTTAGTTTTAACATGGTGTGGATTTATCTTCAAACTTCTTACCTTAGTTTTAACATGTTATGGGTTTATCTTCAAACTTCGTACCTTAGTTTTAACATGGTATGGGTTTATCTTCAAACTTCGTACCTTAGTTTTAACATGGCGTGGATTTATCTTTAAACTTCTTACCTTAGTTTTAACATGTTATGGGTTTATCTTTAAACTTCGTACCTTAGTTTTAACATGGTGTGGATTTATCTTTAAACTTCTTACCTTAGTTTTAACATGCTATGGGTTTATCTTTAAACTTCGTACCTTAGTTTTAAGATGGTGTGGATTTATCTTCAAACTTCGTACCTTAGTTTTAACATGGTATGGGTTTATCTTCAAACTTCGTACCTTAGTTTTAAGATGGTGTGGATTTATCTTTAAACTTCGTACCTTAGTTTTAACATGCTATGGATTTATCTTTAAACTTCGTACCTTAGTTTTAAGATGGTGTGGATTTATCTTCAAACTTCGTACCTTAGTTTTAACATGGTATGGGTTTATCTTCAAACTTCTCATTGTCATCGTGGCAATGTTGTCAAATGGATTTCGCACCATGTGAATGATTTTCATTGGAAGATTGACTTCTTGTAAAACTTCCTTTACAAGTTGTGGTGTTTCCCAGAAAATCTTTGAATTTTTTCCACTTTTTTTATCTCCGATGACCTGCACATAATAAGAATAACACCTTTGACTATTTTGTTCTTGATTTTAATTTCATTATTTATTTACAATTTCATACAACTTTCATTTTTTTCAGGTTTGTCCGATAGCATGTTTATGTCACCTTGATAATATGTTTAAAAGTTCCTTGCCACTGATGGGGGACTGCAAACTTTCGACCATGTGACTTGGTAGGCGACCGATAACCTGAGCCCTGTGTTTGAAAGTAACTATTTTTATAGAGTTCGTTGATGAGATGAGATCGTGTTTTCATTTCATTTGTCCACTCTGTCCATCGCTGAAACACATTCAATTCGTTTGAAATGATAATATGAGGATGTGCATCAAGTAGTGCCGCCATGATTGTCGTACCACTTCTTGGGTAACCAACGAACAGCACAAACGTTTCTATCTTTGATTGAACATTTGTGTTTAGCTCTAAGGAACGTAAAATTTTACTTCTTGTCAACGGGGTTTGTAAATGTTCTTAAAGTTGAAATAAATAGTTTAAGGTCTTAAATTTATAAAGATGCTCTTCAAGTTCTTAAATTCTTATTATTGGTCAAATTTTTGTAAACATCAAAACGCACTAATTCTTTTTCTAAGTAGTGAAGTAACCTAGCAACGTAATACAAACGGCCTGGGTCAAAGGTGTTAGAATATCAAGTATATACTGCATTGTTTACTTATGAATGTTTGATTGACTGCAAAAACCATAATAAGTTTGATGGAGGGAAATCGTCATTGAATTATATCGGTTGTAAATATTAAACTCAAATCATTTGCTCGCTGTCATTTGTATAATAATGTATTAAAATTCTCTGCTTCAGGGACGAATGAAGATTGAGGTGTATTCTTATATGCCTGATGTGGAAATCCATTGTTTTCAACGAAATATGACAAGCATAAATCGGAGTTTGCAGTGCGCGCAATTTTGAGAAAACATTACGTTTATGCGCGCACATTTCGAATCTCGGGTGCGCAATTTACAAAATTTCCAGTCTGGTGTAAAAATATGTCCCTGAATTATCAATCTTCGTATCTCCCCATATGCTCTCTCCAGGTTCTATTGAACTTTTGTTTACTCGTCATTGTGTGCGCGACGACAGAAAAGGAATGATATACAATAGACTGTTTTAAATGTTTCCATGATAGGTGAGAGAAAACTTACCTGTAAAATCTTCCCCAACGTGTGTGTATATACGTGTATTATTTAGTCTTTTCATAATCAAAATGGATGTGGTCACCATTAAACACGAGAGCGCTAATATAACCAAATATTTTCTCATTGTTTATACGCAATAAGACTAAAATCTTGACTCTCTAAACTCAATCGTCGCGCCACATATCTACAGTGTCTTCTCATTGCGGTACGGTACGGATTGATTGTAAATTGTTGAAGTCGTCGATTGTAATTCAAAACTGTGTTGTGAATATATTAATTCACGACATTCTACACTGGATGTAACGATTTTTGACGCAAATTGCATACCTTATTTCCTCTATTCAGCCCCCCTGGTGTGTGTTAAATAGATGTTCACGCAAAATTACTTGCGCACTACTAATCACGCAGCCCATAATTCAAAATTAGATTTCTATTTATTTAAATACCCAATCCAGTAAGTGCATAGGTCCATTTTGAAAAAAGCACATGAATATAATTTTGTCTGAAATCTTACAAAGCAAGTTACTATTTTCATTTCTACGTTTATTATTGTTTATTATTTTATCACTTTCCTGTAAATATTTATTTTACAGAGGTGCTGTGATTGAAATGATAATGGCGGGAAAAAATATCAAAAAAGGTTGACAAAAAAAAGGTAAATACAAAGGTAGACATAAAGTTAGACATAAAGTTAGACACAAAGTTAGACACAAAGTTAGACATAAAGTTAGACACAAAGTTAGACATAAAGTTAGACATAAAGTTAGACATAAAGTTAGACATAAAGTTAGACACAAAGTTAGACATAAAGTTAGACATAAAGTTAGACATAAAGTTAGACATAAAGTTAGACACAAAGTTAGACATAAAGTTAGACATAAAGTTAGACACAAAGTTAGACACAAAGTTAGACATAAAGTTAGACATAAAGTTAGACATAAAGTTAGACATAAAGTTAGACACAAAGTTAGACACAAAGTTAGACATAAAGTTAGACATAAAGTTAGACACAAAGTTAGACACAAAGTTAGACATAAAGTTAGACACAAAGTTAGACATAAAGTTAGACATAAAGTTAGACACAAAGTTAGACACAAAGTTAGACATAAAGTTAGACATAAAGTTAGACACAAAGTTAGACATAAAGTTAGACATAAAGTTAGACATAAAGTTAGACATAAAGTTAGACACAAAGTTAGACATAAAGGCATACATAAAGGTAGACACAAAGGTAAACACAAAGGTAAACACAAAGGTAAAAATAAAGATAGACATAGAGGTAGACACCCATGTCTTACGTGTTGCCTCTGGTCCACACGAGTGAAATATAACAAACTATAACAAGAAACGAAACAAAGGCAATAAACGAAGCATGTGAAATAGTCAATTATACGAGCGCAAGCATAAGGAAAAGTGTAATACATGATTTAAAAAAAAGATTAAAGAAGATTTAAATAAAAATCTCAATTTCTTTGTCTTTGTAAACCTCTAATGTAAAAGAAATAAAAGTCACACGTGTGAACCAAGCATAAGGTTATGCTCAAATACTTAACAACAGAGCCTATAAAAGTAGCTCTGAATTCAGATTTGTGAAAAGAACAACAGCAAGTGCTATGGTCGAGAGAGTGAGAAATAGACGTACACAAGAAGAAAGGAAAAAATTGAATCGCGCATTTAACAATACTTGAAAGCGATAATTGGGAGATGAAGCATTAGTGTTCAAGATGAAATATTTACCGATATTTACAAGGGACCACATGTAGGAGGACTATTATGTCAACTTTCGAAGGGATTCTCAACGAAACTGCAATTTACACTGCAAGCTATCATGCTGAGTTACAACGACGTCCACCAATAAAGCTATTTGTCAATGGATATACCGCACCATATTTAAGCATTTGAAAGGCATGCTGTTTATGTTGAAGTTATCACATCGACTAGTTCTTGTAAAACACCGTCATGACTGTATAAAGTGTATTTAAAGAACATTTAATCTGCTCCACGTGGACAGTATTTAGCGAAGAATATGAATATAATATTTGAACATCGAGAAGCCATGGTCGAATAAAGGGGATAAAGACTACAGTAAAATATGTTGTCAAAAAAGATGAAATGTAATCGTTTGTGTACTTCACCACCATATCTACCCAAATATTCACGGCATTCCTGTGCCAAAATGGTCAACATCTGTCCGACGAATGGCTTTGTAATAAAGTAGAAAATTTACAGTTTCTATCTGCGTCTTGTTTTGAGTGATAAATTGTATTCTCAACTCGTATTGCACAGCTGCTGAAACAAATCTGTACCGGATCACCTTGGTGAAATATTGAACAGAGAACAAAATTATGCAGAGATACTATTTTCGACATCTTACAAGAGAAATAGATCCCATGGCTAGAAACCTAAACTGCTTTTCGATTTATCTCTAGTGTTGTTGGGAAAATGTCAATGGTTTGAAAATCGATGCTACCAATGTGTGTTTTGTTGTTTCTTTGATTAGCACTTTACGAAATAATCTTTTTTATTATATTTCAAGCATCTATCATAGTAAATAGACTAAATTTTCCATTTGTTTCCAACGCACTCACTGGTCGAGTGTGTAGAGTGAAAGTGAGAATCTATATGTCTATCTTTATGTCTACCTTTGTGGCTAGCTTTATGGTGATTTCTTCGTCTTCACTTTCGAAATCAGATTCCTTGTCCTTATGGAAAGACGCTGGTAGTTATTTTTACATATTTTCAGAAACATCATGAACAATTCCCACTACTATATACCACATGAGCCAACGACCTTCCAACGACCTTATTTATAAAACTTGTTAAATATCTTCCTTGACACTACTATTTTTACAAAATTTTGCTCTCGTTCAGCAATAAACAAGCATGAAAAGAAGCAATGCTCCATTTTAATTAATTTTCATAGAATGATATTTTCTTATAATTAAATAACCTAACATATTGATAATCACTAAACATCACAAAAGAATCTCTAAACAGGTGATCAGTGGACATGTTTTTGTTTTGACAAATTATCATTATTTATTTCATTTAGAAATCAATTGTTTTCATTCACAAGTAATACATAAAAATAAGAATACAGGATACTCAACTTTTGATCATAGTTTTAAGATCCGTTCTTGTCGGATGTATCCTCTTATAGCATTTGTACATGGATCTTCTTGTTTATCGTCATGTTCAATGCAAATATACGGAAATTCTTATAAGCCCAATAAAAAACAATTATCTGTACTTAATCGTTTACTAGTATATTTGCTTATGATGAAAACAGAAAACTTTTTTTTCTTTTTAACTATCTTCATTTCAAAGAAAAATGTGAATAAAAAGCACAGAATACCATCTTCTCAAATGGGATCAAAATCTTGAATAAATTATTTCATACTTTAGCCAATCAGAGCTGAAAAAAACGTAACCAGTAACAACGTTGGAAGTTCATCGAAATAAGCCAATGAAATCAGGCCACCAAATGATCTTAATACACGTCAATCAATCACTTTAGACAGCTAGATGCCCTCGAGACTCGAAAGTGAAAGGTACGTTTGTGAAATTTAATTCATTATTAAAAAAAGTATACTTCAAAGTTCAAATGTCCGGATAAATTCGATCACGAAAGCCTTGTTTGATGTATAGATACGTTCTGCTTTACTTGTAAATCTTTTCATCGGTTATTTTTGTGCTTTCCGCCGTTTGACTGCATGTCTTCGCCGGCGTGTTTTCTTGTCAAAAGGACCTTGTCAGTATAAAAATGGCAAGTTTGTATGCTTCAAAATCTTTCTTTTCATTTTACTTAAGTGTGTTGCTGACTGCTAGTGTTTTGAATACTTCGAAGTGAAGTTTTGTTGAATGTTTTCGCTTTTAACGTGTATATTTAAATCGGATATATTTTCAGCGACGAACTTGCGCCACGGACATCTTTCTCCGTTTCAACACAAAAATATGAACAAATTTTTAGTGAAAAGTAATAATATGGCAAAATGAGCGACAAGGAGGGTACTTCTTGTTCCTTGAGTTGATTCTTGTAGATAAAGAGTGCTTTTTTTAGCGAAAACTTTGAGATATTTTTGAAATATGAAAATCTTGGTTCATGTTGAACCTTGGACTTTCAATAAAATTGGCGCGAATTTTGTTCCGCGTGAAAATGAAGAGCACTGAGCACGAATTATGCAAAACTAACGAGCTTGACTATAATAATCAAAATTTTCACTGTAAACACCTAAAAAAAACTTCGAAAGAAGTGGGTTGAAGTCAAAACCTTTCATCTAGACTTTGGAATAACTTGGTTAAAAAATGTAATGAAAGATAGTAATGTTTGCTTCTGTACTTGAGTACAGGTTATCATTGAAAAGCTATGGATTATTTTTAGAGAAGAATGCAACCCAATTCTTATCCTAAAGTGAAAATTTGAAGCAAGTATAAAGCGAATAATTATGGAAAGACATGTAAAAGAACCTGAAAGAAGTAAGGTAGGAAACTCAAAATTATCGTTAGAACTCTCATTGATTGCCCAAATTGTTTTATATGAAAATACTTTTATCTAATAACATTCTACAACGTCAAATGGGTGCAAACAAAAAATTAACTCGTTTCATTCAATTCAAATTGATAGGTTACATATTTGAAAAAGACGATCAGACTGAGAGTATTTTTATAGATTTACTTGTGCACACATTGAAAAATATTCCGGCTTCTCTTTCATAACTTTGCACGAACAAGTTTGTCTTAATACTTTTAATATACAATCGTTTTGTTCATGTTTGCTGCAAATATATATGAGTGCCATTTTGAAACAAAAAGCAGTTAAGTTTATTGTAGAAACAATTAGACAATAAATCAAAACAATTGTTGTCAACGATCTATCTGAAATGACGTTCAATGGCAATCAAAGGAGTCTAAATGACTTCCTGCATTCGAAATGTGTAAGGGATCAAAGGAAACACTGATTCATTTAAAAAAAGATATTCATGAAACAAAAGTGAATGTAGTGTACATGTTGTACTTGTCCATACTGCCAGCTTAAGTTTTCATTTGTCTACTATTTTGATAAGTTAGTCAAATTAATTGGTGTGAACGATCTATGAGAAATAGACGTTCGATGGCCCAAAGAAGTCTATAACACTTCCTTCTATTGAAATGTATAAGATATAAAAGAAGCCTTCATTTGAAGAAATCTATATTCATGAATGAAAAGTAAATGTTTTGTACATTTTAAAACAAAATGTGTTGAGTTTTGGGTAAGGATTAACAGACAATAAGTCAAAA